GGGAGGGAGGGAGAGCAAACTCCAGACCGAAGACACCAAAGCAAAATAAGTGGGATCTGGGGGTCTGGAGTCCTAGGCAAAGACCATACCGCCGGCAGAGTGGGATGCAGAATAGCCAGCCACACTGGTGATATTACTGACTGCCAAGTATCTTGATTCATCCTGCCTCTGTTCTCCATACCCTCTGTGCACAGCCGCCTCTACCTGAAGTAGCTCCTGCTCCTCCATGGGGATCATTCTCAGTCACCATTTAGGGTTCCAAAGCCGCCTCCTCCTCCTCCTCCTCCTCCTCCTCCTCCTCCTCCTCCTCCTCCTCCTCCTCCTCCTCCTCCTCCTCCTCCTCCAGGCTTCTGTCGCCTGTGTGGGAGCCCTGATAGGGAAGGGCTGGGAGTGGGAGGCTCCAGTGAAGGTTCTGGAAGTGAGGTCAATCTGTGAGTTGGCTGCCATCTGGGACAGAGAAGAGGGAGTGCAGCTGGAAAGTGGAACCCTGCTTTTCTGTTTATGAAGAAGGAGGCACCAGCTAACAACGTAGCCTCCACAGGCTCCTGATCCACAGGCTCCTAGGTGACTGGCAGCAGCTGGGTCTCACGCACTCCCAATTCCAGCGTGGAAAGTGATCCTGCTGGAGACCTGAGACCATAGGCCACAGAGAGGAAGTCCATCTGGGCGGCCCAGGCAGAGGAATTCCTGGAAGGAAGCTCACATCTCAGGAATCTGGTAAAGGGGACATTGTTGAATCTCTGTCCCAGGAGCTGCTTGCTGCCAGGATCCAGGATCTGATAGCAGGAGGAATGGGTCACCATCTGGGCAGCCTGGCATTTGAACTGGGATACAACCCAGTCACTAGCCCCCATCCTGTGGCTCAGGCAAGAATGAGGCTCAGAGGGAGGCAGCCTGCAGGAGCTGCCCTACAGTTTCTCAGCTGTGGTTTTCTTTCCTATACCTTGAAATGAAAAGGCTTTACTGCCACACATGGGGTGCTGGGGTGGCAACCAGAGCACCCTAGTAAGGTTCCTAGCTGGGCACAGGACATTTTGAAGTCCTAAGGACAGGCTCCACAGGTGAAAGAAGCCAACCCTTCCCTTTCGTGGATGTGTGTGTTTGCACGTGCGTGCGTGCGTGTGTGTGTGTGTGTGTGTGTGTGTGTGTGTGTGTGTATACATGTGCACTCACTCTCCAGTCTTTGAAACAAAGCTAGCAAGTCAGGCTTGAGTAGAAGGTTAGAGCACAGCTATACAGTTCTCTCTGCTGACCCTTAGCATCGATGGGCTTAGATCGGAGAACTACATGTCTTAAATATTAACTACCTTTCCTCCTAAAGCTGCCTGTTGCTCTGTCCTGTCATGGGTTCCAGGAGCAGGGAGCTTTGCTCTGCCTTCCAAACGCAAAGATTCTTCTTAAAGACCTATGTAGTGGTCCCTGGGGCTAGAAGCTTTCTGAGTAGATGCAGCACCCACAGTAAAGTACTAGGGCCTGGTTTCTCCTAAATGCCTGGAGAAGGGAGGGATAATGGTAAGGAAGTCGTAATTAGGACTGGCCCAGGTGGAGCAAATGTTGGGAGCTCAAAGGGTCTGTGCTTGAAGGGCATGAGAGGTGTTAGGGGCTGAACCTGGGAAGGACAGTTTGGGACTTTAGCCAAGGGCGGGGCATGCTTTGAATCCTGGGATCTCCTTTGGTTCGGACAGTCATGGTGAGTGCTAGGTTGATAGTGTGATGGGCAGGATTCCCATGATTGACAACCCACCAGATATACATGAGAGGGTCGGACTGGAAGAGAGGGAGGGTCTCCCAGAGAAGGGCCCGAGGGAAACCTGCAGGAAGGCTTGACAAGGAGAGGACACACTCAGACCCACCAGAGAAGCTAGAAACCTCTGAGGTCAGTGGGTGGGCCCACAATGGCAGGAGAGAAGAGTAGAGAAAAGAAGGGACCATTTAGGTCAAGGGTGGGCACTCAGCAGGCCCATTGTCCCTGCCCACAGGACCAACTTTCTATGGTGACTGAATCAAACTCCTAATGTGGAGCATTTGCTGTCCCCTGGGTAGACTGGAGTTGTACAAGGGTGGGACTGTGATTGATGAGACTGAATCAGGACCCAAAGCAGAGGTGGACATGTAAGAAGGAGGTGCCCTCATCACTTCAGAGGGTGGGTGAAGGGGTGGGAGGGGGCGGTGGGGGGACCGACTACAGCTGTGATCCTAAGTGACAGTGTAGCTGGGGAAAGCGGATGGTGAGATTGAAAAAAAAAAAGAATCTTGTCACACATACCCTAACAAATACACACAGACACTGGACAGACACCCTGCTGGCACACATACACACACTGCACACACCCTACACACACATACACACACTACACACACCCTACACACACACACACCACACCACGCGTGCACACACACACACACACACACACACCACACCACACCACGCGCGCACACACATACACCACACACACACCTCTGGCCCTGACCTCAGATAAAGACCCTCTGGGACAGTGGACACAACAGTAAGGGCAGCGAGCCCTAAGGAAGATAGCATTTTCTCTGGGCAGTGAAGGAGGCAAGGCAGACCAGGAGGGAAAATGACCTTGCAAAGGATGGGATAGCAGACAAAAGCAGTTCTCTCCTTGTCTTCTGGGTCTAGGGAAGTAGTCACAAGGAGGTAAGTTCTGGAAGCAACTGGAGCCTATGTGGGGTACCTAGAGCAGAGGCCCTGACAGACCCTGGGAGGGCAGGACCTGGCAAGTCAGCTAAGAACAGAGCAAGCACCTGACAGCCACCCTCGGCTTCCCCTACTGGTTCCTGGCAGGGGAAGTCAGGTCCTGGCATCACCGGGAGGTCCTGGGTTGATACAAGAAGATTATGAGCCACATTTGAAAGGTTGAGGACTTCTCACCACAGAGGCAGAATAGGTGGTCTCTGGCCAAATCTGAGGTCCCAGTCTGAGGACCTAGGTTCTGCCTTCACCCTCAATTCCACATGACTTTTGGGGACACCCGCTAGGAAAAGTGTTGAGGGAAGAGTGGCGACTTTAAAGATCTGGAATAGGGCCACCCTCTGTGGGATCTAGACTTTGGCAGCAGATGCCAATGCCCAACCCCAGGGTGGGCAGCTGGTGAAGTGGGAGCAGCAGAAGGCCTAGGAGGGTCTGGAATTCTCTTCCCACCCTGCTCCTCCCACTCTGCCTTCTCCCATTCCACCCCCTCGGCTGCCCTCCGAGCAGGGGAGGCGCCGCTGGCCCGTGGTGCTGGGAGAAGCTGGGAGGGGCCGGGGACGCGGGCCGGGGCTGGGCCCCTCGGCTGAGCTCCGAGCAGGCAGGCCCCGCCCTGGCTCACACATCTGGGCGGTGAGCGCGGCCATCCGGCCTGGGGGAGGGTGCAGGGACGGGCCTGGCGCACGTCGAGGGCCACAGCAGACAGCCTCGGGCTCTGAGCTAGTATCCAGGCGGCCAGACATAGAGGAGCTGTCCGCAAGGCGGAGGTGAGCCGGGGAAGGGCCTCTGGGCTTCCCAGGGAGGTGCAGAGGCTGCTGTCTGGGGCTTAAGCCCACGAAGTCACGGGCTAGGTGGAAGCAAAGCTGCAAGCTCCTTGAGGAGGCTGGCCCACTGGCCCAGGCTTGGAGAGGCAACTGAGCTTCGGCTCCTACCTTTGGCTGTGGGACCCCACCAGAGACTTGCTTAGTTTGGAACGACCTGGTGCATGGGGAGGTGGGCTGGGGGCTGGAGGAGAGCCACTGTGAACTGGGGCCTGCTCACTTAACCAGTCGTGGGGTCCTGCTGCCTGGGTTAGAGTTAAGACTGGGGGCTGAATATTTGTGTCAAGAAGTGCCTCACGAGGCTCCAGTCACTGAGATCCAAACTTGCGGGAGAGCATCTGGGTGACCAGGGTGTCTGTATGCTAGAGACCTTAGGCTGCTCTCAAGGAGGCACGGGTGGGGATCCAATTGGGTGGGGTCTGGGCTTCTCCGAGGTTGGAGGAGCTAGCTAGCTATGGAGTAAGTCTGTCCCGTGGAGAAAGGGGAAGGCAGGAACTCAACTCAGCCTGCTGTGAGCAGATGGGGCCAGGGAAAGTGAAAAACTTCACTGGAGACGGTGGGCAGGGTACGGCTTTAGGTTTCAGTGGGACAGAGATTGTGAACTAATTATTCCCACGATGAGTACCCAAAGGGATGGCACATTTGTGGAAAGCAAAGCTGAGGCGGGGATCAGGATGTCAGTGGCCATTTCCATCACCCCTAGCCGTTACAGGAGAAAGCCACCTCCTTATTCCACGGCCTTTTCCTGGTCCCCTCTCCTTGAAGTCATCTCCCCAGTATAGGATGGAGCAGCCCTTTGGGTTCCATTTCTGACCAGACCATGGGCTCCTGGTTGAGTGGCCCAGAAAAGTTTGGAAGAAATGTCTGTAGCCCCAGCCTGCTGACAGACCTGTTGAAGCTCATAGCTCCCCACCTAACCACCCCACCCAAGAAGAGACCCTTGAAGAATTGTGTCCATCAGACAAAAGTTTCGAGGTTATTGTGAGATCTGGGGAATTCTCTGAGTTTCCTCTTGGCACACCCTGTCCCCGTCCTCCGTGACGGACAAACCCTGCCTATTAGACAACCATCGGGACTAAAAGCCAGGGTGAACTTGAAGAGTATGAGCCATGAGGCCGGGAGCCAGGAGTCGGCCACAGGTAGGGTTAAAGGGCTGTCTACAGATAGTGTAGCGATCACGTTAGGGCCAGGATTTGGCATGCAGTTTCCATCCGGAAACTCAGACATTACCACCCAGAAACTGGAAGTCCCTGGGCTGGGGGTCTGCCTCCGTCTGTTTCCATCTCTGCACTCTGCCGAGCCCTAGCTGTTGGGAGCTGACTTATCCCAAACTCCTTAGTTAGCATTCTCCCCAGATGTTCTTTCGGTGCACAGGCACAGCATGGTGGGAAGATCTGGAAGACACATTGGCCACCTGTATGTCCCTGCACAGCTGCTAACCCCTTTACCTCCATCTCTATGGAGTCTGTGGAGACTCCGTCATCATGGTTTGTTTCAGGTCCTACCGCCTTCAGAAAGAACTTGGGATAGGTACAATGACGTTCTCAGTAAGACCCAGAGCTAAAGTCAAATCCACGTGGAGAAGCAGAACCCTGTCCACACACATCCAGCTCCCTGCCTTTCCCAGTGCCTTCCACCCCTGGACTTGGTCCTCACAAGCCCAGTGTCACCCATAGGTACAGAGGTGATACACTCTTACACAGACCATAGTGGGCCAAGGGGGAGGTATAGGCATCTGCCTGTGGCGCGGAACTAAGCTTTTAGAGCGACAACTCAAGTCTTTTTCTCTTGGAAGTTCAAGGTTATTTTCTGCCATCCAACAGGCTTGGCCCAGAAAATCCATTCATTTATTCATCCATTCATCCATCCGTCAAAGTGGTTCTAGCACTAACTCAAGCCTGTGACAGGGAAATGCTCAATATGTATTGTGGTGGGCTTTGATACAGTGGCATGCCAGTAAATACAGCCAGCTCTCTAAGAAAGAGAAAAGCCTGATTTGTAATTGTTGCCCATTTCTGCAGTGTGAATACTCCTAGGCACGGCTGCTTTCAGGCTAACATCACTACGTGCATGGACACAGGATTAAGAGACACTGTCCACTCTGGAAAGTTTATGGTACCCAGCTCTAGTTTACCCCTTTCTTTTCTCTGAGCTAGGCTTCTGTCCTGATTCCCAGGGTTCTTAGAGGTCCCCTCTATTTGCCTCTTTTCATCGTTACCCCCTAGTTTCAGCCAGCCCTTATCCTTTCCCAAATTCTGATACCTGCTACAACCAACTGTGTCTCCCAGTGTTGTGGAAGCAGGACCCTATGTGTCTAGAAATCTCCTTGATTCTGGCCACACAGGGGTACCCTGGATGTACAAGAGCCTGGCTGTCTTTCCGTGATGCTGGGTCTGTTCGGATGGTGGTGAGCAAGGGAGTATCCTTGTGTGTGGGTGTGCCGCTGCTCGGATCTGTGTCTGCTTGTGTTCTGTTAGCAAAACTTCCTGATCAGGCTACAGAAAGGGGCAGCCTCCACCTTTGTTTAAAGGGGTAGCCAGGCTCATAGGTAAGAGCAATAGCACCCGTGCTTTATAAACCACGGAGCAGCGAGAACACTTGAATATCACTTCATCTGTAAGAAGAATATGGATTACCTTGGGAATCTCATAAAATACAAGTTCTGGCCGGGCGGTAGTGGCACACACCTTTAATCCCAGAACCTTGGGAGACAGAGGTGAGAGGATCTCTAAATCCGAGACCAACCTGATCCTGATCTACAGAGAGAGTTCCAGGACAGCCAGGTCTACACAGGGAAACCTTGTCTCAAAAAAGACAGCCGGGCAATGGTGGCGCACGCCTTTAATCCCAGCACTCGGGAGGCAGAGGCAGGCGGATCTCTGCGAGTTCGAGACCAGCCTGGTCTACAGAGCTAGTTCCAGGACAGGCTCCAAAGCCACAGAGAAACCTTGTCTCAAAAAAAAAAAAAAAAAAAAAAAGAAAAAAGAAAAAAGGAGAGAGAGAGAAGAAATAAGTTCTGAGCAGGTCACGGTGGAACGCTCCTTTGGGGTGTAGTGATGCCGGGACTGCTGGACCTGAGGCAGCACATTAAGTAACAAAACTGTTGATGAGCTGGGGGCATTTACTTAGAGCTTGGACCCCAGAACCTCACAGATTCAAGCTCAAATACCTCCCATGTTAGGAACAAAAATATAAATAACCTTGGTTTTTAACAGGCAATAAATATCCTTCAGTAAATAACTTGGAGCCGCAAGCTGGCTCATCGGTAAAGGCGCTTGCCATGCGAACCTGATGACTTGGGTTGACTCCTAGGACCCACATAAATGTGGAAGGGGAGAAGCGACTCCCAGATGTTGTCCTCTGACAGCCACACGTGTGCCCTTGGTGCGTGTGCCTCCGTATTCAACTTCTCCCCGCTTGTCAAATAATAATTAGAAATGTAGAACTTGTTTAAAAAGGAAAACACATGAACACAACCTTCCCTGCCTCCCTCCAGGCACTGTCTCTGCCCTGCTCAGCCAAGCTTCTTGTGTTCAGCTTTGCCTGGGTTTATCCACCTTGGGCCAATGGGACAGGTATTTGTTGTCCTAAGGACTTCTTTAAAATTCTTTTTATATTTTATTTGTATGCACATTTTACCTGCATGCCTGTCTGCGCACCACATGTGTGTCTAGGGCCCACGAAGGTCAGAAGAGGGCTTGGATCCTCTGGAACTGAAGTTGAAAGATGGTTGTGAGCCACAGCCACTGCGTAGGTGTTGGGAACAGAACCCAGGTCCTCACAGGAATAACAATGTTCTTAACTGTTGAGCCAGCTCTCCAGTCCCTTTCTTCAAGGACATCTTAAAACCACCTGGCTTCACCTCCTCTCTTGCTGGGGTCGTCATGGAACCCCAGGAGGGTCCTTGGTCAGCCTGCTTCCACCTGCCAGGACTTTCAATGTCCTTTCCCCTTCCTCCCTTCCCTTTCTACTTCTTCCTAGACTCCCGTGGATAATGAATTTCTCGTGTATAGTATACTTCCTGCTCAGGGGCTTCTGCCTATCCCCAGACTACATGTCTGATCACTAGTTCCGTTTTGTTACCTCGGTGTGAAACTGCACCCACACTCTGCCCATCCCTGCTGTCCACCTGCCCTGCTCTCTCTCCCTTCCTTCCATCCCCCAGCTTAAGTCAGAAAAGTTTCCTCCTGAGGCCCACTTAACAGGTCTGATCAGCCCTGCTGATTTACACTATTGCCATGAAATGGCCCCACTGTGTCCGACGTGCACAGCTCACCACCACCGGTAGCCTGGAAGCCTATAGCTGCCCCGCTGACTTCCGCTTCCACGTTGCTCTAACTGTTCACTCTCCTGTGCACAGAAGCATCAGAGTGCAGACGTGGTGATGCTCCACACGCTCCCCTTGCAGCTTCCAAACTTGCGAGGTTTTCCATTGCCCTTCATATAAAACCGAGTCTAAAGGAGGGTCCGGCCCAGCTCTTCTCTCCCCACACCGACATCATCTTCACATCCTTAATATGCTTGGCATTCACAAAGTTACTTTCATGTCACGATCACTTGAGTCCCCAGAAAAGGTGCGATCACCATTTCCTAAGCCATGAGTCCCCAGGAAAGGTGTGGATCACCATTTCCTAAACCATGAGTCCCCAGAAAAGGTGCGGATCACCACTTCCTAAACCACAGCTAGTGATCCCATTACAAGTACACCTGACTAAACAGGTAAGATGAAAATTTGGCAACAATAAGTTTGCTCAGTGTTCAATGACCAAAAATTACATCAAAATCAGAATGTGAATAAATCTGTTTCTGGCAGTGCCAGCCCATGTCGTACTGTGTGGCCCACAGAGTTCTGAGCACACAACACACTCCCTTTGCCCTGTGCATGCCGGTCGACCACGAAACAGCTATAGAAGCTGACAGAAACACCTCAGTTCAGATTTGAGACTATTCTGTGTTAGGAATTGCCTGTTTTACTGTGGATACCAAACTGTGTGACTCCTTATGGAAACATACTGGCTTAATTACAGAAAACACAGACTTATACCATCCCAGCATTCCTCAGCATATAAGCTCATTGGATCGTATTATGTTAGAAAGTTTTTCGGTGGGGTCTTTGTTGTTTTTCTTTTTAAGAACGTTTGAGTTTTAGTCAGGTATGGTAGCACACACCTTTAGTCCCAGCACTCCAGAGGCAGAGACAGGCAGTTCTCTGTGTGTTCAAGGCCAAGCCTGGTCTATAGAGCTAGTTCCAAGACCGCCGTGGTGGTTACACAGAGAAGCCCTATCTCGAAAAAAACAAGCAAGCAAACAAACAAACAAGAATGTCTGATTTTTATGAATTATAATTTTTAATTTATTTTGTGTATGAATGTTTTACCTGCATGTATGTCTGTGTACCACTTTCATGCCTGGTGCCTCCAGAAGCCAGAAAAGAGCACTGAATCCCTTGGAAATGGAGTTCCAGATGGCTGTAACTGCCGTGTGAGTGCTGGGAATTGAACCCTGCTCCTCTGGAAGACAGCTTTTAACCACCAGGCCATCTCTTCAGCCATAAGGGTGTCTGATTTTAAAGACTGCTGTTTGAATAATCAATGAATATTGACTTGAGATTAAAACAGAATTTCCTGAAATTTCTGGAGTGGCCCTAGACTTGCCTGTCGTGTTGTGCTGTGTGCTTATGTGAAGGAGCACTCTCAGCTCGACCATTGTCAAATCAAAATATGTCAGCTCTGGCATGTGTTGACGGTGCTTCACATTCAGTGTCAAATATTCAGCCAATATTTATTTATTTACTGGTTTTCTTGAAGCGGGGTCACGTGTATCCCAAACTACGCTTTCAGGTTAACCTTGAATTTCTGATCTTGCTGTCTCACCTCCCCAGGCATGAGTCACCAGAGGACTTCATTTTTTATGAAAAAAAGAAGCAAGCACATCTATCTTAATACTATTCAAATTTCTTCTATCTTTAATAAGTGGGAATATATATCAAAGAATTATTTTCAAAATAGAGTTCTATATAACTTATTATAAATAAAAATTTTATTTAGGGGCTGGAGAGATGGCTCAGTGGTAAAGAGCATTGCCTGCTCTTCCAAAGGTCCTGAGTTCAATTCCCAGCAACCACATGGTGGCTCACAACCATCTGCAATAAGGTCTGGTGCCCTCTTCTGGCCTTCGGCATACACACAGATAGACTATTGTATAAATAATAAATACATATTTTAAAAAAATTTATTTATATTCCTATCTTATGCAATTATATACCCTGGATTGCATGGAAATTTCTTTCTTTTTTTTGGGGGGGGAGGGTTGTTTGTTTGTTTTTTGAGACAGGGTTTCTCTGGATCTTTGGAGCCTATCCTGGAACTAGCTCTTGTAGACCAGGTTGACCTCGAACTCACCGAGATCCACCTGCCTCTGCTTCCGGAGTGCTGGAATTAAAGGCATGCACCACCACCACCCGACACATGGAAATTTCCTATATAAAATAGGGTCTCAAGTGAAACGGTCTCGAGGGGAAAGTTTAAGGATCAGCTGTGAAGGACCCTGGTTGCTCCTCCAGAGGCCTGCACTCCCAGCACCCACTAGGCGGCTCACAGCTATCTGTAATTCCAGATCCAAGCTATCTGTCACCCTCCCTGACACTAGATACACACGTTATATGGGCATACATACAGGCAAAACAATCTCATAAGCAGCACCTGGCACAAAGCAAGCACCAGAAAACACATAGGAGGGTCATGGTTCCTACAGAGCAAAGGGCATTTCTGAGCAAACCAGGCCTATGGAGACTGAACTCTAGATGAGATGAAGGGATCTGGTTAGACATGCTTACAGAATTTGTGATGCTGGTTTTCAAAATGTGTCATCCTTATCTCCCAGAGACATGCTGAGGAGTTTGTAAGTGAAATACTGTGACGTCAGGGATTAGCATCAAGTGTCTCCGGCTCAGAGTAAAAAAATAGCACAGATAGCAGTCAGGGAAAGAGTGTAGAACAAGTAAGTCTCATTTTGCTTGTCTGTTCTTGTTTTCAGCTCCAGAGACTGCAAGGATGCTGACTGTCCCGGAAATGGGCCTACAAGGGCTGTATATCAGTAAGACCTCTACTGCCCCTCCCTGCCCACCACCCCACCCACCCTACTTGCCTTGCCATGAGACTGCTAGCCACTGCCCACGATTTCCTCTCAGTGCAAGTTCTTGAGAACCATTCTGTATATTCTACACTGTGTGTGTGTGTGTGTGTGTGTGTGTGTATACAGTGTGCACACCTGCGCATGTGTGTGCAGGGATGGTCTGTATACAGAAAGTATCTGTTCAGAGATCCCTGCGTGTGTGCATATGCTTGTCTGTGTGCAAAGGACTCGCGTGTGCTTTGTGCACCTACACGCATGTGCACCCTTTGTGAGGGTGCGGATGGATCCCTGTGCGGAGAACCTTGGGTTGGAGTGGTCTGCAGATGGGCCTGTGTGCACTGAACTCAGCACATCTGCTTTCCTCTGAGTGCAGGCTTTGTGTTCTCTGCAGGGTGGGAGGCCAGCAGGCAGGAGGGACACTCCTCAGGAAGTCCATTCACAAAGACCTGGTGGGCTGGGCCCTTCCTTCCTGCCTCCCTTCCCAGGCTAAAGGCACAGCAACTGCCTTTCACATTAGAGCTGATGGCAGGGCCTGGGCCATGCTGGATGCCCCGAGAAGGGGCTTTTGAACTTTAGCTACCCTGACCTTATACTTCTGGTACCCAGATACACTGCAACTATGCCCAGGCTCTTCTTACAGACCCTCACATACATTCCTGGGTTATCCCGGGACCACTGTCAAGGGTCACAGACAAGCTGAGGGAGCACAGCCAGCCCTGGCCCAGAGGACAGCCATTCAGACCTGCTAAGAGGAGCCTTCATGCCCATTCCCACTCTCCTTCTCTTTTTGGCCTCCCTAGCCTCATCCATGGGTGTCAGGGTCTCTGCCATCTCCTCCCATCACCCTTAGCCAACCTTAGTGTGATGGGGATAGTGACTTCCTTGCCACCTTTGAGTGTCCGGCCAGGCTGGCCTTCCTGTCCCACAGGCGTCTAATTCAAGCCATACCTGGGGCCCTCCTGGAGGTTTCCCTGTTTCCAAGACCCTAAAGTCCAGCCCAGGCCTGGCCCTTCTGCCCCCAATGCTAACTGAGGATGTCCCCAGACACAGAGCTGGGCTGGGGGTAGGTGCTACCTTCCCCTTCTGGTCCTGTGTGCCCATTGGGAACAGGGAACTCCCTCAAGTCCTGATTAGAACACTGTGGCTGACTTTAATAGCAGAGGAGCAGCCTGCCTCTAGGCCGTATGTCCCACCTCACAGTCACATCTGAAGTCCCCTCGGGCCCTGCCACAGGAGCCCATCTGCCCATTGCTCCTGCCTACCCATCTCTAGACTGTCTTTCTACTACAAAGTGCTTCTGTGTCTCCTTCTGTCCTCCTGTGTGTGCTTAAAGGGGACTTGGGAAACTGTGCCCAGATGATACATACACGACACCATCCAGGGAGACAGGCACATCTGCTTGGTCCAGGCAGGTGCTTAGACCCCTAACCCTGCAACATGAATGTCCTTCCTACTCCCTCCTGTCTCCCTTCCCCACAAATGACCCTTTGCCTCAGCCAGGCTCAGAGAGAACAGATAGAGCCCTTGTGCGAGGCAAGATCCTGCTTCCCAGATCGTTTCAAGGTGACTTGGTCTTTCTCCTCTACAGGCTCTAGTCCGGAGAGATCCCCAGTACCCAGCCCACCTGGCTCCCCGAGGACCCAAGAGAACTGTGGCATTGCCCCCCTCACCCCTTCACAGTCTCCAGTAAGCAAGCCCTGATTGGGAATTTGGGTGGTAGGTGGCCTGGGTGGTGTGGAGGAGGGAGGTCCCTGGGGCAGGGACTGGACTGAAGAAAGGTGCAGAGGCATGCCACCAGGCCTCCTATCCCTGGCACACTAGTCATGTGGCCCCATGGCCGTGGACTGTGAGCCGTAACAATGCTACTGAAAACATAAGCTCCAGGTAACTTACTCCTACCTCTCTCTATAGAAGGATGACTCCCAGAAGACACTGTGGCTGACCTGCTTAGGCAGGCATGTGACTTTTCTAGGTTCTCAGAGCACTCTTCCTGCCGACCAGAGCCCTAACACACTCTAAGCCCCAACTCAGGAAGAGTATATTGTTTAAAAATATTTAGAAACTGCACAGTTGAAGTTGACACACGGCTACCTCTATCCCCATGGCTTTCCTGGGTTACCTACTCTCTATGACTTTGTCCCGGTCATCCAGTTTGGGGTCCCTCTTCTCAGGGAGCCCAAGCCTAGCTTGGGAGAAGTTGGGGCAATTCTGTACACGGACTGGGGCCCCTCCTCTCTTAAAAACCAGAGTCTGGATTGTGTTACAAAAGCAAGAGGTAAAGTGTGCACATCCACATATTAGAAAACAGCCAAGGGGGCTGGAGAGATGGCTCAGACGTTAAGAATACTGACTGATCTTCCAGAGGTCCTGAGTTCCGTTCCCAGCAACCACATGGTGGCTCACAGCCATCTATAATGAGATCTGGTGCCCTCTTCTGGCCTGCAAGCATACATGAAAGGAATGTTGTATACATAATAAATAAATCTTAAAGGAAGAAAGAAAGAAAGAAAGAAAGAAAGAAAGAAAGAAAGAAAGAAAGAAAGAAAGAAAAACAGCCAAGAAAAGCCAAATTGCTCCCAGCCAGGGCAAGGCTGGCAGCAGGCTGTGAAAATGGTGTGAGATGGAGCTGGGCCGAGGGAGTCTGGGAAGCAGGCAGGTGAACAGGAAGCTAGATAGCAGTCATTTTAGCCCCAAACTCCCACGGCTACCTGAGAGGTGTTGGACCGCCCAAGCAGGTGGCATGGCCAGGTCCCAGCCTGGAGGGGAGGCTGTAAAACTAGGAAGGTGGGCCAATGGGACTGGGACAAAGTGGGCCACAGGCAGTGAATGGGGCGAGATTCTCTTAGTTGTTGGCTGACGTTAGGTCTTGGACTTGCAGAAGCCAGAGGCCCGTGCTCCACAGCAGGCCTCCTTCTCTGTGGTCGTAGCCATCGACTTCGGGACCACATCCAGTGGCTATGCCTTCAGCTTTTCCAGTGACCCTGAAGCCATCCACATGATGAGGTGAGGGCAGCTGGCCTGGGAGACTGGGCTGGGGAGGTACCTCAAACTCTGGTAAAGGCCTAACCTTATAAATAATCATGGGGCAGGGTCTTATCAGAGCCCCTTGCATCTCTAGGACTCCTCGCTAGGACGGGAGGCTGGAGAATGGACTTCAGGTCCAAACTTCAGCCTTATTTGGAGTCCTCCTACCCACTACAGGAATGCTGGGCTTCATTTATTTATTTGTTTATCCATTTATTTATTTGCAGGGCTGAACATCAACCCTGGGGCCACAAGCCCACAAGTGTTCTTGGGTTAGATCCCCAAACCAAGGCTTTATTTTGGGGATGTGTGTTTTAATGGTTTTTAATGTGTGTGCACGCATGCATGTGTGTACTTGTGCATAGTGCATGCATATTAAGGCCTCTGTCACTCCCCACAGGATCTCTCACTGGGCCCAGAGCATACCGATTGGCTAGCCTAGCTAGCCCTGGAGCTCTGGAGATGCACTCATCCCTACTCCCCACCCCATCCCCCCAGTGACAGGGTTAGTGACGAGGTTATAGATGCCACCACAGCCAGCCTAAGCTCTAAAAATAAAGAAAGGAAGAGAGAAAGATAAGGAGAGAGGGAGGGAGGAAACAAAGGAAGGAATCAGAAAAGACCTTGAAGTAATTTGGCCTTGGAAAACAACCTTGAGAAGTACAGTGACTTGGCCAGAAACGCTTTTGCTAGGGTCCCAGGGAAACATCAGAAGGTCAGACACTGGCCATGGAATAATAGCTTGCTGTTGCTCATAATAATACAGAGGCGAGGTCAAATGGAACACCCTACCCAGAGGTCTCTCAGGGCCTCTAGGATAGAGAGGATCCCTGGGGGAACGTTTATAGAGGGATGTAAATGGCACCATTTCGTTTTCATGAACCCCTAAGAGATAAGCACTATTAGTATCCTGGGGGGTGAGGGTGTAGATCAGGCTGGCAATCATCCCACCTCAGCCTCCTGACTGCTGGGATTGCAGTCACCACTCCCAGCTCCATTATTTTCATTTTACAGGTGGCGGAGGTGGGAGCTCAGGGAAGTTGTGTCCTGCTCAGGGTCACACGTCTGGCCCCTGAGCCAGCACCCAACTGTAGGAATGTGGCCTCTGGCTCCCCTGACTGCTTTTGTCTTCGCAGGAAATGGGAGGGGGGAGACCCAGGCGTGGCCCACCAGAAGACCCCGACTTGTCTGCTGCTGACCCCGGAGGGTGTCTTTCACAGTTTCGGCTACACTGCCCGTGACTACTACCACGACCTAGACCCCGAGGAGGCTCGGGACTGGCTCTACTTTGAGAAGTTTAAGATGAAGATCCACAGTGCCACTGTGAGCCTATGCGGCCAGGCTCCTGCCAGGGAGGTGTTAGTGGAAAGCAGGGCAGAGCCGAGAGACCAGAGGAATGGCCTGACTGGGGGCCGAAGGGGTGGGGTCATGGGCCCAACCAAGAGGATGGGGGGGGGGACTAGAAAATGGCGGACGCTGGGGCAAAGCCGATGTGAGATGGCTAGAAGAGAAAGAGAAGCAATGGAGATGGGTGATTATACCGAGGAAATCCTCAGGGAAAGAAAGGGGCAGAGCTATGGCCTCCTGCAGAGCGGCCCTGTGTCTCTGCCAGGATCTCACCTTGAAGACCGAGCTAGAGGCCGTAAATGGGAAGAAGATGCTGGCCCTGGAGGTGTTCGCCCACGCCCTCCGCTTCTTCAAGGAGCACGCTCTTCAGGTGTGCCGCTCTTCCCAGCCCACGGACGGGGGGGGGGGGGGGGGGGGGGGGGGGAGGGGGTGGGTGTGGGGTTAGTTGGGGGGGGGGGAAGGGAGGGGGGGGGGGGGGGGGGGGGGGGGGGGGGGGGGGGGGGGGGGGGGGGGGGGGGGGCACGGGGGGGGGGGGGGGGGGTGGTAGGGACACCCTATCCCTTCTGTCCCCTCCCTCTCCCCTAATCCCACCCTGAGTCCAGATGATGGGTGGTCACTGCCAAGTCACAGGCCACTCCAGTTCCCTGTCCTGTCAGAGCTTGCCCTTGGGCCAGCCAGGCAAAGATCAGAGTTCTCACTCCAGCAACAGATCTTCCCAAGCTGAGCTCCCCGAAGGGTCTGAAAATGCTTCGGGCCAGCTCTCGCCTCACTGTCCTCCCCTACTGCAGGAGCTGAGGGAGCAGAGCCCCTGCATGCTCGAGAGGGACACTGTGCGCTGGGTGCTGACAGTGCCTGCCATCTGGAAACAGCCGGCTAAGCAGTTCATGAGGGAGGCTGCCTACCTGGTGAGGATGTGCAGGTGGAATTGAGGTAGCCCACACCTCATCCCTCCTGCAACCCCGAGGACCACAAAATCGTTGTGTGATGATATTCACCCTTGCTGGGATTTGGGGAAAGAGTTGTCCCCGGGAGAGGGGGTGAGCCTTCAAGAATAAGGGCAGCTGGGCAGAGGCATAGGCCATCACAGTGTCCTGTTAAGTTCCTGAGAAGCAGAGCCCAAGATCGGTAGTGTTGTGTATATAGTCTGCTGAAGACAGGCTCTTAGGACAAAGGGGGTGGAGGAATCAGGACCGGAGAGCAATGCGCAAGGATGCGGTCTCGCCGGAGTCTAGCTTCAACCCCATTCTACAGGAAGCCCCAGAGGATTGGCCACAGTGAGACAAGGGTCCATAGCTGCCTGCCGTTGCTTGCTGGTGGGATGGAAGGGGCACTTGTCCGTGTGGGGTGGGACCAATGTCTAAAGCAGGAGCTGTACAGCAAGAACAGACACCAGGGAAGCCACTCTGGCCCTCTGCAGCACTTCTGTACACCCCCATTCCTGCCCCAGGCATCGTAGGTTCTTCCCAGAGGAAAAGGACTATTTAGTTACAAAGGGAGATGATTCTGGCCAAAGTGTGATGTCTTCCTACCACAGAGAATGTGGGGTTCAGATACTACCCTCTCCAGTGGGGACAGAGAGGCCTCACAGAGCAAGATGGGTTGCTTGGCTCTGCCCCTGGGGCCTTGAGGAACAGACCCTAGGACATCCAAAAGGTATCTCAAGCCTGCCTTCTGTCCCCTTGAAGATGCCTCTACCTGTGGGTCAGATGACGGGACTATGGGTGCCTATGCTTGTCCCTAGAGGGGGTTGACTTTGAGCACAGTGAGCCGCTCTGCAGGAATCAGATGTCCCCAGAGAACAAACATGCCTGTCCGTTTACCTGCTCTGCTCTCTCCCACGTTGCTCCCTGATGCCAGCTCAGAAAGGGCTGGCCCAGGGCAGGAAGCCCCCATTCCTACCTGTCTCCCTCTTAACTTGGTCAGAATGCATGGAATCCCATGAACTCTAAACTCCCTGGAGAGAGCCTTTGTCCTGCTGCAGGAAATGACAGATCTTGACTGTTTCTCCTGTACCCCCACTGGCCTGTCATGATGCCTGGAATTTCACTATTTCCTTCCTGCTATAGCAGATTCTTTGGGAACAAAGTTCTCCTGGGAGTGAGGCAACCTATGGCCAATCTCTGACACCAGCCTGGTGAGCCGGGCATTGCCCCTACCATCCCCTCCAGTTCATGGCACTCACCCCTCACTGTACTGGAATTTCCCCCGGCAACACCACAGCCAGCACTTAGTTAGCCCCTGCCATCCTCTTCAGTCCACCGCACCCGCCCCACTGTGCTGGAACCCCCAGCCACACCACAGCCAGCACGGCATTCCCTGGGGATGGGAAGTTTGCTACAGCCATGCCATTTCTTTCTGCTCGGTAAGCCTTTGGCTCCTTGGCCCTGGCCCTCCCTAGCCTGACCTCAAGGCGGCTGGGAGGCAGCTTCACCTGTGTGTAGCATGAAGGGGTCCGACAGGCCTGGCATGGTGTGGCGGGAGAAGAGTTGGGAATACCCAGGCTGCAGAGTGCCATCTTACATGACGGTCTATGGTGCTGCCTGGTGCGGGCCACCACCTATATCTCCAGGCTGGCCTGGTGTCTCGAGAGGATGCAGAAAAACTCCTCATTGCTCTGGAGCCTGAGGCTGCCTCTGTCTACTGCCGAAAACTTCGCCTGCACCAGCTCCTGGACCTGAGTAGCCGGACTGTAGGCGGTGGGCGCCTGGGTGAGCGCAGGTCCATTGACTCCAGCTTTCGACACGGTGAGCTGCTCCAGGGTTGCTGCCTGGGCCAGGGTTTGATGGAGTGCCCTTGGAAGGTTAGCTGTGTCTAGGATGGAAAAGGGGAAGTCACCACCGTGAGGGAACCCAAGATCCCCGGTGGAGTTCACTGTGAGGGGGACACAGCCCTGGCTCTAGGACCCCAGGTTGAGGACAATCCCATCTTGACCAGGGAAGCAGAGTCTGAGGGTCAGGGAGACACAGACCGCCTCGGGGTAGGTGCTCAGTGGATACTAACAAGGGAGCAAGCTGGGCCCCAGCCTCCTCTTCAAGGCTTTCCCTTAAATGGCCACTCTATCAACTGTTATCCCACATCAACCCTGCCCCTTAGCAACCAAAGCTCTTGCAGCCAGACCCAGGCACTGAGGCCAAGGACAAACTCCTCAGTGTGCTCACCCTGGCAGGGAGAGGTCCCAAAGTCCTGAGCTTCCCTGGGACACTTGGAAATACCTTCCACCTAGATCCTTCAAGGCCTCTTGGGCCTGATTGCGCCAGGGCCTGCTCCCTCTGGGGCAAGAACAAGTCCTGTATCCAGAAGTGCTTCTAGCTGCTGCTAGTGCCTGGGATTGGGATCCGTGGTGCCACAGGGCTCTGGACAGCCTTGGTAAGAAGGGTTGAGACGGTAGCTCCTAACCTTACATTCCACCCCAGCCCGGGAGCAGCTGCGGAGGTCTCGCCACAGCCGAACGTTCCTGGTGGAGTCTGGTGTGGGAGAATTGTGGGCAGAGATGCAAGAAGGTGAGGTGACGGGGCATGAAGGGACATCTCAGCGCACAGAGCCTCTGTAAGAACTGGGGAGGGCTCCATCCATGAAGCCTGCATCCCCCATCAGTCACCTAGACCCCATTCTGCTTACAGTCGCATCCCAACTCATTCCACCACGAAGTTCTGTTCCATGCTCAAGCCTCAAATCATCCCCCTTCCACATGTAGCATCCTTATTTGGTAGCCTGAAATGAAGCTCTTCGCCTCCCTCCATAAACCAAGGCTGGGTTTGGTGCCTGGAGCAGGGCTGGAGGCTGGGGGTGGGGGATGCAAGACGGAAGGTGAGAGACAGAGACAGGCCTTTCATGTTACCTGTATTGGCCGGTGCAGGAGACCGCTACATGGTGGCAGACTGTGGAGGTGGTACTGTGGACCTGACCGTACACCAGCTGGAGCAGCCTCACGGTACCCTCAAGGAGCTCTACAAGGCTTCTGGCGAGTATACCCACGAGTACCCTTGTCACCAAGCTCTCACAGGGCCTTCCATCGTCCCCTGGTGGCCGATCTGGCAACAACACCCGCTCTGTCTCCTACCCTGCTGTAGGCGGCCCTTATGGCGCAGTAGGGGTGGACCTGGCCTTTGAGCAGCTGCTCTGCCGCATATTCGGAGAGGACTTCATCGCCAAATTCAAAAGGCAACGGCCAGCAGCCTGGGTGGATCTAACCATTGCCTTCGAGGCCCGCAAGCGCACTGCAGGCCCACACCGAGCCGGAGCACTCAACATCTCGCTTCCCTTCTCTTTCATTGACTTCTACCGCAAACAGCGAGGCCACAACGTGGAGACGGCCCTGCGTAGGAGCAGGTGCGCCCAGGGTCAGGACTCGGGAGGCTAATGTGGCCTGCCTTTGCAAGGGAGAGTCGTGTGCCCCAGGGACTAGAGAGAGAGAGGCCTGGGCAGGTCCACACACGTTCACCGTGCCAGTGACAGGTGGTGGGACCTTGAGTACTGGGTGGTGAGGCAGGTCCACCAGCGGTCAGGAATTAGCAGTCCAATTAAGAGTTAAGTGTCATAAGGGACAGAGGTTGCAGATTTTATCTTCTTCCTGACCCACCCTGTTACTCAGTGTTCGTGGCTCCGCTGTACTGGAGTAAGGGTCAAGTCGTTTGTGATCTCCTGACTGAGCCGAGCCGACAGCAGAGTGGGGTTGGGGATAAGGGCAGGTGTCCACCCTTCGTTCACAACCTGAGGACCCCTGGCTAGAAGCTGCAGCAAACAGCTGAGCTGACCCATGGATTTGTGTGTCCCCTTCACCACCCACAGTGTGAACTTTGTGAAGTGGTCCTCACAGGGGATGCTCCGGATGTCCTGTGAGGCTATGAACGAGCTGTTCCAGCCCACAGTCAGTGGGATCATCCAACACATAGGTGAGTGCCTGGGTTCATCACTAAATTCAGGTTCAGAAATAATTCCTCTCCTAGAATCATCTGTATTACCTGGAGCAGACAACTCATGGTGATACAGGAACTGTTTACAGTCCTGCCAGGTTAAAGAAGGCCGGGTGCTTCTGTTTCCCTGTTTTGTAAATGGACTTAATGAGCTGATAGCGTGTAGAGTAGACAGGCTGTCCTGAGCGGTGTAGATGCAATCCTGGTTCTGTTCTTCTCTTCGTGGGATGGTAGCAAAGGAGAACGGTGTCGCGGGCCGGCCGGACCAGTGAAGAATGCCAGGAAGCACTGTTTTCTTTTTAATGCTGCCAGAGTACTGGTGGGGCCGGGCATAGTGGCACGTGCCTTTAATCCCAGCACTTGGGAGGCAGAGACAGGCGGATCTCTGTGAGTTTAAGGCTAGTCTGATCTACAGAGTATGTTCCAGAAAAGCCAGGGTTCTAGTTGCACAGAGAAACCCTGTCTGGAAAAACAAAATCCCCGCCCCCGAAAAAAAAAAAGGTACTGGGGGAGGGGTACAGAAGAGCCACTTACCATGAAATAGTGGCTCTTAGTGACTCTGTCTCCTTCTCTCTCTTCCTGAACCCCACCCTACACCTGCCCCTGCCCTGCAGAGACATTGCTGGCAAGGCCTGAGGTACAGGGCGTGAAGTTGCTATTCCTGGTGGGCGGCTTTGCAGAGTCGGCTGTGCTGCAGCATGCAGTACAGACAGCACTGGGCACCCGTGGCCTGCGCGTTGTGGTCCCGCACGACGTGGGTCTCACCATCCTCAAGGGAGCAGTGCTCTTTGGCCAGGCACCCGGTGTGGTGCGGGTGCGCCGCTCCCCTCTCACTTACGGCGTGGGCGTGCTCAACCGTTTTGTGCCTGGTCACCACCCACCTGAGAAATTGTTGGTTCGGGATGGGCGCCGCTGGTGCACTGATGTCTTTGAGCGCTTCGTTGCAGCAGAGCAGTCGGTGGCCCTGGGAGAGGAGGTGCGGCGCAGCTACTGCCCTGCGCGCCCCGGCCAGCGGCGCGTGCTCATCAATCTGTACTGCTGCGCTGCGGAGGACGCACGCTTCATCACTGACCCTGGCGTGCGCAAGTGTGGCGCACTCAGCCTGGAGCTTGAGCCTGAAGGCTGCCCGGAAAACACAGGCACGCCCCCCAACCGCCGTGAGATCCGTGCTGCCATGCAGTTTGGCGACACGGAGATTAAGGTCACTGCTGTGGATGTCAGCACTAATCGTTCTGTGCGGGCGGCCATTGACTTTCTTTCCAATTAAGGGTGCCCTTTCATTGGGGACAGAAGAACATGCTAGTTTTCACAGCGGCGCCCCTTTCTCCCCACCCTGAGAGAAATGTGGTAAGGACACATGGAGACTCATGTTGGGATTGGGCCTTGGTCTACTGATTGGAACACTAAAAGAACGCCAAGAGGTGAAGTGGCATAAGAGACTTCTAAGGTTAGAGGGTGAGCCTGGCTTATAAGTGTGTGACCACAAAGACAGACTACAAAGGAGGACTAAACACTGGCCTGAACTTGAGGGTTGAGGGGAAGGTTAATCAAAATTGCTGAGGAGCCGCGCGAGGTGCAGAACCTGGGCCTGAAGGTTAGAGTTCACTGACTGTTGAAACTGTGGAGTTCTAGCCACAGGAAGCCAGAGAGCAATTTCATGCAGGGTTTAAGCCCATGCTAAAGGGACGGGTGTAAATAGAAGCTGGCTGTGTGACTGTTAATTGCAGAGCAGTGGCTGACGGGAGGAGGGTGCATTGTTACAGTGAAGGCAGTTTGGAGGGGATGTGGACGCAGCATGCTCAGAGGGACCCACGGGCAGCCTATAAATGACTCATTTGCCACCAACCCTGCCACAGGAGGGCAGAGTTCACTGGGGTGAGGGGTGGGTGCCCCAGCTCTGCCACTCATCACTATAGTACACCATTAGGAACTCTGATCAACCATGGGCCTCAGTCTCTCCAAGTGAGAAATGTCGGACACTTCCAGCCAGCCATGGCATAGGACAACTTGACCTGGCTGAGAACTTACCCTAGGTGAAATAAAGCATGTGTGGTCAAGAAAAGCAATAATCTTCTAGAACCACCAGAGTGAGGACCCCCACAAGTGGGAGTAGTGTGTGAGGTACAAGTACCAGAGAGAAGAGAGACCGTTTTCAGCTGCACAGATGAAAGGGACCTGGCAAGGAACTGTTGCTTTCTCCCTGTCTGGCATCAGAGGCCTGAAGACTGCTTTATCCTAGGCAGGAGGCACCTCCCCACCCATATTAAGCCACGAGTCCCAGGGCTAAAAGGCATCCATCCCCTTGTGGTGCCAGTGCTACAGAGTTGTGCCATGCCTCTTCCTCCTGATGGAGCTGGTGCATCTGGGAAGGGTAAGGTCATCTGCCAACACCAGAGAACAAAATGCCCCCACCGGTATCTACTGGAACTTTTGTTTATTAAGGTCTCTATCCCAACCAGTCATTTAAAAACCAAGTACCACAGACCTGAGGGGTAGGAGCTGGGAACTGTACCTCCTCACCACATGAAGAGCAGTGGGGACGATGGAGGGGCAGCAGAGGTGGAGACGGGAGACGACAATAGCAGCAGCAATGGGGCATCAATGTCACAGAGACAGAGCCACTCCGTTCTCTCCCAGTCCCTAGCTAAAACCCCCTATGGCTTGGGGTGGAAGAGGTAAATCCCACCCCAGGTCCCTCCTCTCAGAGAGTCTCCTTGGGACTCAACCCATTTCTTCAGTCAGGAGACTCAGGCACATGGGAGAGGAGGAAGTGGGAGAAGAGACCACAAGAGAGGCAGGATGGTGGCAGGAATGAAGGCAGAAGTGGGGGGCACCAGCAAGGTCTAGCCCTGCCACGCCCACCCAGGGGAGAGGTGAGGAAGCCACACCATCACGCAGCACGTCGGGAAGCAGGAGGAATTTAAGGCTCAGGGGCTCAGGCAGGCAGGCAGGCAGGCAGGGCCCAGGCCTCAGTCGAAGCCGTGCCAGTCGCTCTGTTCCGAGTCGTACTCCAGCTCGGCGCCCACACACTTGACACCATCCAGTAGCATGGGTGTGCCATGGTGCCGGTCTGCAAGGCAGGGGCCATAAGTTAGCGGTTGGTTGTGTCCCGGTACCACACAAGGTTTGTTCCACAGGAGCCTCTTCCTCCCATTGGCTGGGGATCCAGAAGAGGACCTTGCCAAGGAGATTTTAGAACCCAGCTTCTAGGATCTCTTGAGGCCAGCCTTATGCCTCCTTCGCCCAGCCAGACCTCCCCTGTTCTCACTCACCCATGACCCGTGCCTGCACCATCACACGCACGCAGGTGCCTGTGTCACCTTCGCAGGCAAGTAACATCTCCTCTTTGAGGACGCCCTCTTTGTGTGCTGAGTACTCACACTTGATGCTGTAACCTGCTGGAGGACAGGGAAGGGCAGGAAATCGGTACCTCCCATGGCTCCTCTATAGTGTCCCCAGCACTCACAGTCCCCCACCCAGTAAATCTCGCTGAGCCTCTTCCAGAAAGAGGCCCAGATGGTCCCTCCAGAGATCCAGCCCCACAAAGCTGGCCCAGAACTTCAAGAAACTTCCCATTCTTTCAAATAAGGTCAATGTGTCTCTCGCGTGAGAACTTATCATGGCTCTAAAGGTGGAAGGACAAGGTCCAGTTCATCCTTCTGAGAAAAAGGTCCCCCTGGTGCCACACGGGAAGGCAGGAAAGTGACAGAGAACAAGGAGTGAGCTCAGCAGCTGGGATGGCAAAAGGAAAGGACTGTCCCAGTTCCCTGAAGGGCAGGCCGTTAGGAAGCAACAGTGGTGGGGACACGGAAATGAGGCTGGAGCTCAGCAGCACACCCCGAAACTGACAGTCTGGTCTCTGCCAGGTTGGGGATCAGGAGCAGGACAGGATCAGAAGCCAGCTGGAGAAGCAGCCTAGAAACCAAGGCCTGGAAAGTAGGTACTAGGCGTTAGCTCCTACAGCTCCAGCCTTTTTACCCAGGAAGATGAGAGGGAAGGCTGGGGGCCAAAGACAGCTCTCAGTGGCTTCCATTTCTGGGACCTCTCCACTGAGGGTACCACCAGGCAGTGGGCAGGTGCAAAGCTGCAGTGTATGTTAACAGAATGGGCTTCTCTGTCCAAAACTAGAGGCCTGGGGCTTGAACTGTCATGCCCCAACACCATAAGCTCAAGGAGGTGCCATGGCCCTGACTAGGGAAAAGGGCAAAGAACCTCATGTTCTCATACCACTCGCGGTAGGCCCTCATGGGTGAGGGCAGGCCTCTAGCAGCCCGGGAGGGGACCTACCTTCAGGGACGGGAGTGACACTGAGGAGCCTGAGGTGCAAGCTGTGGACAGGGGCCTCACGGATGTCTCTGCTCAGCCTGCGCACTGGAGGCAGAGTGAAGGTAATCTCATACCTGTGCTGGATCTTCAAGAAGCCAACCTGCAGCGACAAGGGGAAGGAGAGAGGCACCTTCACTGCAGCTTCTCTTAGGCATCAGGGTACGCTGCCTAGGCTCCTGAAGCCCCAGCATCTGCTGCCCCGGGTGCCCAGCTCTTGTTACTCTCCAGCCCTCATGGCTCCAGGCATTCCCTGCATCTGTCTCAGAGGCCCCACAGGCCTCAGTGGTCAGTTTTACAGGTAAGAATATAGAAATCAGGAAGTGACTGCCTAGAGGTCACATTGTGAACTACAGAAGTCCTTCCTAGACCTCTTGGTCACTTCGGTCCCGTGTGGCACACAGGAGGAAGCCAGTGTCAGGGAGGGAGAGCTTAACATCCAGCCCCTGTCAGCCCAGATCCAGCAGCCAGTGTCAGGGAGGGAAAGCTTAACATCCAGCCCCTGTCAGCCCAGATCCAGCAGCCAGTGTCAGGGATGCTGGTATTTTCGTTTCTTGACAACATGGGATTGGGAAGAGGATGGAACTGGAGATGGATGGACACTAGGGTTTGGGTACAGCTCAGTGGTAGACTATGTACTCAACACATACAAAACCCTGGTTTTGATCCCAAGAACCAAACAAAACCCACAGTAAAGCAGCTCTGAGAGTCTACAGCAGGTCACAAACCAAATATTAACAGTGACCCTATGATCCTGTCCACTGACACATGGTAATGGATGCCTGCCTACCTGCCCACTCAAAGGTACCATGTGACCAGTGACCTCTGCTCGTGGCCCAAGCAATTTCTGTTGTCTAGATACACTGCTTGGACAAGCAGTGCTGTTCCTCTGGGACAGATGCCTCGGGAATTTTGGTGTGAAGGGTCAGAAGCTGAAACGACTGCCATTCTAAGAGCCTCCTGAGCCAGGCACAGTAGCTCCCGTCTGCTCCCAGCACTAGAGAGGCCGAGGCAGTAGGACTCCACAAGTTTGAGGCCAGTCTGAGCTTCCCAGTGTTAGTCCAGCCCAGCTACACTCTCAAAGCAAAGAGCTGGGCATACAGCTCAGTTGGTAGAATGCCTGACTAGCATGCATTACCCTGGGTTTGACCTCCAGCACCAAATCAAATCAGGCATGGCGGGGCATACCTGTAACCCCAGCACTCTAGAGGTGGGGGCAGAAGGACCAGCAGTTCAAGGTCGTCCTTGGCTACACAGCCAGTTCAAGGACAGCTTGGAGTACGTGAGACCCTGTCTCAAAAAAACGAAACGAAACAACACATTTTTCTTTTAAATTTGGGGTTTTGCTTTTCAGTTATTTATTGGGGGTGAAGGGTGGGTTTAACACACAGGCTATAGTGCTGTGGAGAACAGAAGGCAATTTGCAGGAGTTGGTGCTAACTTTCCACCATGGTTCCAGGGACCAAACTCAGGAGTCAGACTGGGCAAGTACTTTCACCTGCTAAGCCAAGTCGATGGCCCTCAAAAAATTCAGGTCTAAGCCAGGCAGTGGTGGCGCACGCCTTTAATCCCAGCACTCAGGAGGCAGAGACAGGCGGATCTCTGTGAGTTCGAGGCCAGCCTGGTCTACAAGAGCTAGTTCCAGAACAGGCTCCAAAGCCACAGAGAAACCCTGTCTAGAAAAACAAAAAAACAAAAAACTCAGGTCTAGTGAGCTGGCACAGGGTTAAAGGGTGCTTGCCACTGATCTGAACCACATGGTAGAACTGACTCTTGCAAGTTGTCTTCTGCCTCCACATGTATCTTATGGCACACCTCCACCAGACCCCCAAATAAATGTGAAAAGTTTTAAGGCTTTCTAGGAGCTGGTAAGCTGACTCAGTGGACAGAGGCACTTGCCACACAGGCCTTGACCCTGAGTTCAGTGCAGGATGAAGGTGGAAGGAGAGAATGGACTCCACGAAGTTGTGCCCTGACCTCTATGTGTGCACTACGGCGCACATAGTGGGGTGCGCACACGGTAATCATGTTCAAGACTT